AGGTCTGCCATGCCATGTGGTCACCTCCGGGGCAGGCGGGGATTGAACTCATGTGGAAGTGGCTTTAGTTTCTCAGTGCTGTGCTTTTACCCGCTGCGCCACCAAGGAGGGCCACATATCATATTTTATTTCAAAATCCAAAACTAATTGATGTCATTGGAAAAAATAACGCATAAAATTAAATTGGTCTTTGAAAGTACTTTTTTTTTTTTTTTAAAGCCTGGAAGTGATTAAAAAAACCAGTAAATAAAAACTAAAATTTCTCCCACTACAGGCATTTAAAAGAACTATTGTTGCAGTTTCTTCATGAACAACTGAAACACTGAAACACAAACTCTTATTTTACTATTCAATAATAGAAGCCAAACAATAGGTACCACTATTAAAGAACCACTATAAAAAGATAACAACGTATCATATAAAGTAATATACATTTGGTAAATTTTACATTATTAAGTCATTTTCTAAAGATTCTTCTCTCTGAAAGACAGTCTTAACGTGTCTACGTTAAGCATCTTAACCAGCATCTTAACCAGACTTGCTTCCCCTTTATATTCTTACCCCTTTTCTTAGTCTACTGCATCAGATGCTTTCTCATCTTCTCAATCTCTGTAATAAATCCCAGAGCTCAGTTTTCCCTCTTGACATGCAGGAATTTCTAACTGGGGACTCCACTGCCCCACTCTAAGGCACTTGGAAAATGTAAGGGTGGGGACACGTTCAGTTGTCACAATGAATAGGAAATCTTGCACATGCTACAAGATGCTAGACATCCTGCCATACAGTATGTTGCACACACAATCAGCGGACTCACAATCCCTGATCTACAGAAGAGAAGGTACCATTCACCCAAAAATAGGTTTAAAAAATTAAGGGGGCCCTCAACTGGCACAACAGTTTAAAAGTGCAGCACTAGAAAGCTAGCAGCACAAGTTCGGTCCCCAGCCAGGGAGGTGACTCACATGGTGCAGCAGACTTCTCCTGTCTCACCCACTGCTCCCCTCAGCAGTGAACTTCATCAATCTGCCTGTTCTGCTCCCCACTCTGTCTCTGATGAATCCTCTCACCTCCCCTGTACTCTCTGGCCTGTACCCCAGTTCTGTATGCATAAATAAATAGATCTTTAAAAAATAAATAAAATTAAAAATTAAGCACAAAGAAATGCAAGCAAATAACTGAATCTCTTCAGCTATGGGAAATTCTAATACTTAAGTGATCATATCATTCTCAGGCTTTCAAGGAATTTACATTGTGAAGCATATTTTGCATAAAATCAGATATACCCAAATCCACCTTATTTTGGTATTACTATAAAAGTAATTTCTCTATGATTTTCCCACAAACTGTGTAAAAATAGGAAGATTCTTTATGAAAGCTGCACAACTTACTATATTCCATAGACCATTATTAATAATTTTGCCCCCGGTTGTGATTTTAGTTGTATATTCATTCTTAAATTGAATCTCAAGCTTTCCATCACGAAGAGCAATCAGGAACCAAGCTGAATGATCCAGAGACTCTGTGTACAGGATAACACCTTCTGAATCATATGTCCGAAAGTCAAATTCGGCTGAAAATCTAAACAACAAAGAGAGATCCTTAATAGTGAGAAACACAATGACTCAATGTGTTATTCTTTTTCTCTTGTACTGCCTGATAGTATATGTCCGATGTCAACTATGTATATCTTTCCCCAAAATTAATGAAGGAGAAGAGCAGAATTAGACTAATAGTCTCTGGCTCCATGTGTGTTTAAAATCAAGATATTTTACTTTTATATTTATTCTTGGAATTTTTTCCCCCCATGAACAGATGCCTTGGTGACTTTTTTTTTTTTTAATTCATTATGATGGCATGTTTTCAAATGCTGGAATTATATATATATATATGCACACACAAGTATCCGGCATATTGTATCTCTCCTGGAGTCTTTTATATCCTATTTAATCTGACATTAGGATTTGTTTTCTGTATCCATATATGATTAGTAAAAGATGTTACAATTTCATGACTGATTTACCCTCACAAAGCATATTTTCTCTATGATTTCATATACGTCAGGAAGGAATCACTCACAAAGATATACAAGATAACATCTGGATGATTGCAAACATAATTAAGCTTTCAAGTGTGGTAAGGAAGACAAAGTCAAAAACATTAAAATGTATATGTGAACTTTAGTTGCATAAATCACTGAGTGTATGGAAGGAGAGCTTAAAAGATTAGTCTAGTCATGTACGTGGGCATACCTGAGTTCTGGCAAAACCTGTTCTTATTAATACTCTGGACATACATGTAGCTATTACAGGGGAGGAAATTAACATGCTGAAAAATGACATGTATTGATTCAGTTCTTTCTTGAGAATCATTGTTAAAGTTATAAGAGACCAGCAAACCAAAATAATTGGTAAAAGACAAACAGGAAATAGGAAACACAGTTATACAACTTTTAGTCAACTGAGTTAAGTGAAAATAAAAGTAATTAAAAGAATATATATCAGGAGTTCAGATAATTGTAAATCAAGCAAAAATGAACTCCAAACCTTTAATCTTATATTTAATAGTAATATAGAAATCATTTGCCATGGGGTACAGATTCACCTTAGTGGAAAAATTGATAGCATAAAACCTTTCAGTTTTCAGGCAAAGGAAATATTAAAAGAGGTAAATGTGGAGTAAAGTATGTTGGGCAGCTAACAAAGTATAAAGGGAATTTCCTGAACTCAGATGATATAAAAATAGAACTATTTTTCTTGGAATAAGGACTTATAACCTCACTCTTTATCTTCATATTCTGCTGATATAAACATGTATTATTTTACTGAAACATGAATCTGTATATTCTCAGAACCTTCCAGTTGTTCTTATTATGGATAATTTCCTTTTCTTTGTAAAATCCAGCTAAAACAATAATTCAAAGAGCCACATTCTACATATTTTTTTCTGGAATACATCAGCAGATTGATTTATTACATAGGGGAACAATTCATGCCTTTTAGAAGTTTGATAGAGTGAAAACCAAATTTGCTAAATTTCAGTAAGGTATTTTTGATCATAAACAGAGGTGAAAGACTTGAAAATAAAAGAGCTATCTGTTCTTGCAGGTTTACACATGGGACAATTTCCAAAATTCACTAACCAGGCTATTTAAGGCATATGTACACTTCTAAGAATATTTTATAGACTTCCATAAAAAGTTTGAAACAAAGTAAGTGTGGGGTCCCCACGCCCTGCTTGTTCTGGAGGATATTGTCTTGGTGCCCAGAGGTCCTGCTTGGCAGGTAGGAGGCCTCACCAAGGGCAAAAGTCCTGAAATGAGGACTTTACTATACTGAAAACAGCAGGCAGATCTGAGAATAGAGATAATAGACTGGCAGGAACAATGGAGCCCCCCAGGCAAAAGGCCCTGGTCACTCCACCCTAGTTTACATCCCGGTTAAGCATCCGCATGCATGAACGCTCCCTCTGTATTTGCGCCTCCTCTGTGCACGATGCTAATAAATAGGAGACAGTCTGTGAATAGGGGTTGCACTTACTTCAGGTGTAGTCCCTCTGGGCTTCTCACTGCTTCATATGGACATTGGGTCATCTTTCCCTAACCTGTGCTGCTTCTAGCGCTGCTGCCAGTGAGGGGACAAGTAAGCACTAAACATGACAATAATAGTTGTTTGGACAATCTGATCCTGTGTTTGAGTATAGAGTATAAGGTATTGTGGCATGTCAGTAAGCTTGAATACCCTTGAAGGTGTCTAAAGAAATGGCATAATTAACTTTTATCTCTCTCATTGTCATTATTCTCATTGCAAAATTGGGCTGTCTCCATACTACATAGAAGAAATAGAAGACATTATTTGCTCTGACATTTTAAAGAGGAAAAACAGGTTGCGACAAGGGGAGGAATATCAAAGGTGCACAGTTGTATCAGTGAATCTTAGAACAAATAGCAGTGTCCCTTAATTTCTCTGAACTTAATAGAATTGTTTAATAAATAATCACATTCTGAATAAATTCCAAGTATATATGATTATTTACTCAATATTTTAAAATTAGGAAGTTACATCAGGGTCCAATAAGCTAATTTTCCATTATTCAACAAAATTCAGTTTGTTTCTTTTTTCTAATTCCAACAATGTATAGCTCTGAAAAAATTAGATAGTGAAAGTACAAAAATGATACAAAAATATAAGCAGCTTCTACCTCCCAAAATCAGACTATAAGAATAGTAGATAAAGTATTCAGAGTCCATTAAAAGTCATGTGACATAGTTCTTAAGATATTACTTATTTTTCTTAATGATTATGAACATAACTACATTCTAAAAGCACTACTCTGTATCTTGTCATTACTTATATGTATAAAGTAATATGTATAATATATATAAAGAATAATAAAGAGTGACATTTTGTAGTGCATATAAACTGAATTCCACAAAAAAATTAAGTCTACTTTTTAACCTTTTATTTCATTCAGTAGAAAAGGCAAAGGAAGGTATAAGGTAAAATAATCATTGAGAGGGTCAATATAGAGTGATCCATAATGTTTCTAGCTTAAAATTACATATATATAAAAAAATTAACTTCAGGGTTCCCCAAATCATCTCAATGGTAGTATACCTAAATTATCTGATTAATAATACAATTTTTTACATTCCAGTTTCCTTCCCTCCTTATCTGCTTATTTCTAGAATTTATCATTGGCATTAGTACCTCACCTGGTGACTTCTGGCAAACGAAATTTTAAGTATAAAACAACCCCTATAAATTGCTCAGCCAAATACAGTAATTCATAATTTTTGTCCAGGTTCAAGGGAAGGCACACTGGAACAGCCTGGAAGAAAGGGAACAAAACAAACAAAATGCATAGGTTCCTTCTTACTGTTTGTGCCAGGTTATTTATCTTTGTCTTATTCCTAGTGTTTCTGTCAAATGTATCCTCTATGATACACAACAAATCATGAACACTTTTGATACTAATAAAGTAGCATATTTTACTTCCACGTAGCCTATCACGAACATGTGTGTTTTAAAGTCCTGCTTCATGTAGGTGTTTTTAGATCTTTGTCTTTATTATTGCTTTTGTACATCTCAGTCCAAAACACAAACTTTTCCTCTTAATAACAACATTAAATAACTGTAGTTACAACATTTCCAAGAGTTATAAATGAAATAATCTATGTTTGGAGTCAGAAATAGGTGGGGAATTAATGCGCCAATGAATAGCACCTCAATCATTTACTCATTCACTTAATTGAGCTGAAATTTTCTGAGCAAAATTCTATATCTAGATAGTAAAGGAAATGCTGGAAAAACTGGATGGGATGCATATAAGATTAAGATATCATTTAAGTCTCCAGGAACTTTCACAAAAGTGATTGAGAATCATTCAGTTTCACGTGAAGTTTTTTTCTAAAAGTAAAATCAAGCACAATGGGAAGCTTTTAAAAATTAGATTCTTAAGCAGATAGAGGTGCTGGGAGCGGGGTGTGCAATATATAATGTATTAAATCAAGGTCCAGAAATAACATCTCATTTCCTTTTGAAATGTCAGTAGATTTATTCCAGTGTAGTTGATGGTGTGTAACTACAACAAATACATAAATAATGAGACTAAATTATAAAATAAATATTCTCACAGCACAGTATCTCAACTAAGTTCTATCTCCCATCCAAGTACTAACCAAACCAGACCCTTCTTAGCTTCCAAGATCAGGCATCTTCAGGCAGTATCATATAGACACAATTAGGTACTATCAAGGTTACTATATATGCCCTCAGTTATATTACTTTCTTTTACCAAGTTGGGTAGCATAATGTAGAAAGTTACATTTTTGAATATACATAGTTTTGTCTTAGTCATACCTGCAGAGTTTTTATATAAACACATTTAAATCACCTAAGTGGATTATTTAACTACTTCATAATACATAAAATTTTCACCTTCACTTGTGAAAAGTAAGAGATGCTAGAATTGGACTAAGGATCTCAAATATGTGGTCCTTAATTAGGGAGAAAAAAACAGTTTCTGATGTTGACAAATTTATTTCAGTGTCAGTAAAGCTAGAACCTCCCCATATATATAATTTCTGTGTCAATTATTAATTAAATTTGAGCAATTAAATGCAAGTTTGGGAGACAGAGAACCAAAACAACCTCTTCTGAGTAACATAAACCCCACTGTAACATAAACCCCACTGTCTTATTCTGACTAAATTGTTTCCACCTGAGATTTTCTGGGCACTCCTGCAAGTATTAACATGCCTAAAGTATGATCAAATTTGTCAGAGTAGAATAAGTAAAGTAGACACTGGAAAATATTGGCACTAAAAATTTACAGGCGATTTTTTTCCTCACAAAGAGATATATACATCTCAGTTTTTCTTAGTATCTTAAATAAATACATACTTCACCTGTGGTAGGTATACAGGTGGTACAGATGACCATTCTCCACCATCCCCCACAAACTCTACTTGAATTCTTTTATTATTTACCTAGTCATAAATTACCCCTAAACTTCACAAGCATGATGAGTAAATAGCATGTGACTCAGAGCCTGCTGAGATCTATAGCAATTATTAGAGAACATCTGTAATTTCTTGAATTACCTCAGCTTTGTGGAAATAAGTACCTGAATCTCTCATGTTAGGAATAAGATGGGAACTTTAACATTGCAAAATGTTACCTCACAACTCTTCTGATCTTGGGCAAGTTTGAATCCTTTCCTCCCATCACAAAAACAAGAGTAACCTCCAGGGTAATTCACACAAAGTTGAGCACATATGTTCTCTGAGCATTCATCCACATCTGGAATAAAAGATAACATAAATCTAATGTCTCTTAAATGTTCAATCCAACACAAAGAATATTCTGACTTTAGTATGAGATAATCAACAATAGATCCTTAGTGAAAGACAACCCCTATGACATCAAATAACAACATTTAAACACATAGTCTAGAAGTATAAATGAGCTACAAAGGCAATTTCTATTTATCTGAATACCCAAAACAACAAATTTTAAGTGTAATGTTCAGTAACTAGTAATTAACAAAAATATAACAAACTTGGCCCTCCCTGGTGGCGCAGCGGGTTAAAGCACAGCACTGAGAAGCTTGAGCCACTTCCACATGAGTTCGATTCCCGCCTGCCCCGGAGG